CGGGGAGCCTGCTTCTCCCTCTGCCTCTCTCTCTCTCTGTCTCTTATGAATAAATAAATAAAATCTTAAAAAAAAATAAAGTTTTATTTAAAAAAAAATACATATCTTTTATTTCCCAGGCATTTTTAGTTAAAAAAAAAAAAGCCTCTTCTAATTACTATTGTCAAAGGAATTCTAGATATCATCAATAAGTAAGTCGGGTAATAATTTTTTGGTGGGGGAGGGGAGAAAAGGGAGAAACTGCTATTGCCACTGAAATTTTGTCAGGATAGCATTGTGGGGTGGACAGGCAGTCAAGTTTATCAGAAAGAATCTTTAATTTCACACAGAATACACCCTCCTTGAAGGCTGTTCCCTGACTATTCCTAGAAGCAGCTGGGATTTCTCTTAGCAGAAGAGCTAAATCTGATTTTTAGCTGTTTCTCTCTCCCTCTTTATCTTCTTTTTTTAAGAGCCCGGTGTTACAGGATTTTTTCTCAGTCAGTGCCCATGGTTGTTGGTCACGCTGCTTTGAAAAATGAGGTGTAGACCAGACAGAGTGGTGGGCAGCAAAGCAAGGTTTACTGTGTGACAACAAAGTGATAGTACAAAGCTCCCAAGGACGGAGGGGACCCGAGCTGATTGCCACGGGAGTTTCTAAGTCTAGGGGTTTTTATGCGCTTGTTGGTGGGCTGTTTTAATCTGATTAACCCTCCCTGTGCCTGTCATCCAATCAGGTTTTTGTCATCTATCACATGGGAAAGGGTGGAGGGCTCCTCCCAGGGTGGTGTAAAATCCTTTTAAGGGTGGTTTCTTCTTAGGGTGGGGGCCCCTTGTCCATGCCTGTCTGCCTTCCAACTATCCTTTATCACTGGCACATGCTAGAAATTCATTAACTGCCAAATAAACAAATGGGTGGGATTGTGCTTTCACCAGGCTCTATCCTGAAGTCTAGAGAGCAGGAAGAAGCTGCTTAAAAAATTCTGTAGAATTTAAGTGCCAGCAAGTAGGAACAGTCCATTGGCACACTACAGGCAATCTTAGCTTTGGGGCAATCCTTTGTAAGGTCTGTCTCTTTTATTGTGTATATTGTTAAATGCTTTTGTTTCAGCCTCTCCAATCCACCTTCTTTCTCCCTCTCATTTTTTTTTCTTTTTTAATTTTTATTTATTTGAGAGACAGCGAGAGAGGAAACACAAGCAGGGGGAATGGGAGAGGGAGAAGCAGGCTCCCCGCGGAGCAGGGAGCCCGATGCGGGGCTCGATCCTAAGACCCTGGGATCATGACCTGAGCCGAAGGCAGATGCTTAACGACTGAGCCACCCAGGCGCCCCTCCCCCTCTCATTTTTAAAGAAATTTAACATTTGGGAGGTCCCTAAAAGTATTGTGGGTCTTAGGCACTGAGCCTTTTGTGCCTGACGGATGAGTCGTTCTCATTGGTGCTGGGGGACTGATTGTTGAATGTTTTGTTCATCACCACTAGTAAGACTTAAATTGTACCCGAGAAGTAGAAAACTCAAATGCCTACAAGCAGACCAGGTGTGGGGCATTTGTCCACCATGTGTGTGGTGAAGGTCTGGTGAACTGGAGTGCACAGCTCTCCTCCCAAGATGTCGCTGTGGCTTACCTCCACTGAGTTGCCAGACTTTCCCATTTTTCTTTTCTTCTTCCCTCCCTCCCTCCCTCCCTTCCTTCCTTTTTTAAAAGATTTTATTTATTTCAGAGAGAGAGAGAGCACAAGCAGGAGGAGCAGCAGAGGGAGAGAGAGAAGCAGGCTTCCTCCTGAGCAGGGAGCCCGATGCGGGACTTGATTTCGGGACACTGGGACCGTGATCTGAGCAGCAGGCAGACGCTTAACTGACTGAGCCACCCGGGTGTCCCATAGACTTTCCCATTTTTCTTTTCAAAGATTTTATTTATTTATTTTTTTAGAGAGCGAGCGAGAGAGAAACAGCATGAGAGGGTCAGAGGGAGAGGCAGGCTCCCCGCTGAGCCGGGAGCCCGATGCGGGACTCGATCCCAGGACCCTGGGATCATGACCTGAGCTGAAGGCAGACGCCTAGCCATCTGAGCCACCCAGGCGCCCGACTTTCCCATTTTTCAAGAAATGCTGGAAACCCGGAGTATAAAAACATAAAATCTCCCAATTTAAAAATGCTAGCTCAAATTTCAAAGAACAAAAACCTCCCCGGTTGAACCAAACAAAACACCTTTGTGGATTGCATCTGGCACTACTTTGCAAACTGTTGAACAGAGCTGCAGGGAGAGCCCTTTAAAACAGATGACAGGGACTAGAGAACCAACACATTACAAGGAGACAAAAAGCATCGTTTTAGTGTGATCATAAAAAAGTAATCCTAATTGTAGTAAATTGTAAGATTTTCTTACTATTTATGTGTAGTCCCTTGGCAATACTAATTGTGAATCTAATTAAAAATTCCAGATTCTGTAATATTCCATCTGGATGATTCATGCTATGTCATCCTCCTTAATCTGTGGTTTGAGTAATAGGGCCAAGATTTTATGACATATATGTGTTGAGGAGAACTTTGCTTGTAACCGTGATTGAGTTTTTTAAAGTGTACTTAATTAGGCCTTAATAAAGGCCTATGTATTACTTATTGTCAGGTCACATTTGTCTGGCTTTTGTTGGGACTTTACTGATGAAAAAGAAGAGAAAGAAGAAGTCTGTGTTCCTTTATTTCTAACTCTTTAGGGGCAAACATTTGGCAAACATTATTTTTGTGAGAAGTAGAACTTTGGGGATTTGAATGAAAAACATGCATTTTTTCTCTTTATAGAAAAGTCAGCCTGCAGCATTGCCGGAACATGACTAGGCACAGCCAGTTCCACTCCTTCTTCCTTCATCTCAGCTGATGATTTCACTTTCTAACCCTAGATTGTAAACAATTAAGGTCTAGTTTGATGAGCATTTTGAGTGGGAAAGTATTAGGTTCCTATGGAAACAGAAGCAGAGTCTCTTAGGCTTGGTGGGGGAGGGAGGTCTATAAGGCTTCCTGGAGGAAGTGACATCTTCAGTAAGAGTGCAAAATTGATTCGCTTTTCAATTAGAGATCAAGATGAGGGTAGGAGAAGAAGCCCGGAATTGAAAAAGTGTGATAAAACCTGAGACTGGAAATAAATTCAATTGGACTGGAGATTGCAAAGCATCATTCCAATGTAATTTCAGTGCATAGCACTTGTCACTTTCTGATCATCTCGTTTGCTTGTTTGTCTGTTCTTCCATCCCCATCTGCTCACACAGAACAGAAGCTGTTAACCTTTACCGTTAACCTTTACTGAGGGCCTGCCATGGGTCAGATCCCGTAATAAGTACTCCCTCTGTCTCCCCCCAACACCAACCAGCAGACAAAATTTTACTTCTTAAGAGTTGGCTTAAATGTTCCCTTTTCTGTGAAACCTCCCCATCTCTTTACCCAACCCTTACTCTCAGAATTACTTCTTTCAGGGTTCCCACCACTTTGGTCTCTCCTTGCAGCATCAGTTTAATTCTTTTGTTTTTTCCCCCCATTCTTCATTAAGTTTTAAATCATAGGAAGACAGTGATTTTTATTTGTCTCTGTAAACCTCTCAACACTTTGGAAAGGATTTTATACACAAAACGGCGCTCAAAAATGAATTAATTAATTAGGGAGAGAAAGTGATGAATCAATCCTTCTTCCTTTCCTGCAGTCCTGAGAGCAATCTTTTAAAACTTTAAGTCTGACATCACAGCCCTACTTAACCCTGTTGGAGGCCACTTTTCATCTCAGACTAGAATTCTAACTCCTAAGCACCCTGCTTACTTTAGGGCCCTATGTGAACTTGCTCCCACTCATCTCTCCAGTCACGACCCTTTCTATACCTCTTCTAATAAAACTTGACTGCTTATGGTGACTGCACAACGGGCTGTACTGATTCATGTCCCCAGGCTTTTATTTCAACTACTCCCTCTACTTGGAATGCCCTTTCCATTTTCCTTGCCGGCTCAGTTCAGGCATGATCTTCTCAAGCCAGTTTTCCCTCTTTTTTTTTTTAAGTAGGCTTCATGCCCAGTGTGGAGCCCAACGCCAGGTTTGAACTCACAACCATGAGATTAAGACCTATGCTGAGATCAAGAGTCAGATGCGCTTAACCCACTGAGTCACCCAGCCACCCCAAGTTTTCTTTCTTTGAATACAGATCCTATTAAAAAGGTACTAAGTACAGAAAAATTTACGGTGCTCCCCTCCATTTATGTGATTTAAAATGGAAACACTAACCCATGAAGTGTACTTTTAAATGACACAGAGCTTACATGTATGCTAGATTTGGAATACTGTCTATGATTTTCTCTCATTCTCCCGCTCTCTGCTTGTACCCAGTTTGTAGATACCCTAACAGTCTATCGGATAACTCCATTGCCGAATTCTCAGGTTGGGTCAAATGCTCCTTTTCTCCACTCTCCAGGCACCGTTCTATCTGAAAGTAACTTGAGCAAATTACATGTTTGCCTTTCGCACTATGGTGTTAGCTCCGGAGCTGGCGCAGACACCGTCTTTGGCCGTGGAGCGCAGGACCTCCAGTCACCTCCCTAGCCGACCGGTCCGTATCTTCTTTAAGGAGCCGTTCCCTCCTCACCCAGCAAATTCAACTGCCTCCCACCTACCAAGGGCGGGCGCTGGGAAAAAAGTGAAATATCAGCCGGCCCTGAAAGTCAGGACAAGGAGAGTCTCCAAATTCCCGTACCCACAAGTTCGACCGGCAACCGGAACACCCACGAAACCCAGCGGAGTGCTCTGGGCCGAGGAAATTACTGCCACCGGAAGTCACGTGCCACAGCTCCGCCCCAATTCCCTATCTCGGCAGTCGACTATTCAGTCTTGCAGGCGCCTCTGGCGGGCTCCGCTGAAATCCACTCTTTCGGCGCTCGACTCGCCCGTGCTGCTGCGGCCGCCGAAGGAGGGGCAAAGCTCAAGATGGCGGACAAAACGCCAGGCGGATCTCAGAAGGCCAGTTCGAAGGTAATTTCTTAGAGGACTTCATAAGTCAGTGAGTTTATCACTGTCATCTGCGGCCTACAGATGCTTCTGGCCAGCGGGAGGAGATTGGGGTGGGATTCCATGTTCTGGTCACGACTGTAGGCCTGGGCCCCGACGCACTGTGGTGCGCAGGTTGAGAGGCCTGGTGTCTCCCTATAGTCCCAGCCTGGATTCGGCTCGAGACTGGCGGGCCCAGGGTGGGTGGCGTGAGTAGTTCGGCCTGCCTTTGGCATTGGAGTGAAGTCAGGGATTTAGATTGAGGTTTGAAGCCGTGAAAACGCGCCCCTGTATTCCTGTTTGTTGATCTCTTGAGGCCGCCGGACAGCACCTGGGAGAGGCGGGAATCGCTTCCCGGTGCTTAAGTGTTCGCCTCTCTTTCCTTGGTTCTTTGGTTTTAGATCTCACACGCTTCCGGTCTCCCTCAGTTTCCCTCTTGCCCTCCAGGGAATAAATAACATCTAGGGCTGCAAGTTGTGAGGGGAGGACCAATGGTCGAGGGACGCGGGGTGGGAAGTGCAGAGGCGGGAGCAGCTCTCCTTTGCAGAGCTGCATCGCCAAGGTTAATGCTACGCTCTACACGTGGTCTTATCTCACTTAAGAGGAAGTACAAAATGAGCACTTTTTTTTGAGGGTGCGTTTTCAGGGACTCGGGGTCTCCTTCATCTTCGTGTTGTGTGTTCCACCGAAAAGAGAATTTCCAAAGACTTGGCAGCCACTCAAGATTGTTAAATAGATTTTGAGCTAACAGGGTACCGTGTGTAACTATTGTGAAACCATTGAGCTGTAGAAGTGGTTTAGCAGTAGTTAGGTGGTGGTTAGCATCAGGTCTTTGTTGCCATCTTGGGCCGGTTACTTAATCATTTTTTACTTTTGAGTTTCTCATCTTGAACACGATATTAAAAGTAATAGATACTGCCCGAAGTAGTTATTAAGCTTTATGATGCTAATGCAAGAAGCTGTGTAACACTTAAAGGTTTTAGGGACTGTTATATCTTGCGGAGCGTGTATGATTATAAATCGGTTATTAGGAAGTTAAGTTTACGGTGGACTGGGAGAGCCCTGCGTTTAGTTTGTTCTGAGAAACAACCCATTTTATACTTGCTTTATCAGTGTCAGATCATAATCTTTATGACATTTTGTGAAAGATGTTCATAGTTTGTAATTAGTAATGTCTTTACCCCTCATCCTTTAATTTTGTAGAAACTATGGGAGAGGGCCAGTTTTGTCTGTTTTACATTCTACTTTTACTCCTTGTTAGTTTCTTCACTCCCCAGTACGTTTCCCGTCGGTGTGGAGCGGAATAGTTGGGTACATCATTCAGGCCACTTCCTCAACAGATTCACAAAAACAGCCCTGCTTGCTGCTGTTAGGCAACTAGTGCTAAAGCTACTACACCCGTAATAATTCGCGTATAAGCTTCACAATTTTAGTTTCTTTCAAAGGAATATTTTAAGTACCTCCTACTTGACGCTTTGGATACATTGAAAACATTTTAATGTATATGTTCAGGCTTCCTTCTAAAATATATTTCTTATGGTTGTGAGTGTGTGGCTGTTCCTGTAAGTAAATTGTTGGATCTTCCAGTAATCTTTTCAGTTTATATATTGCTTTAGATTATCATCAGTTCATGCTATTAAAAGATTCCTTACTGATGTCTGTAAAAGGAGAGTATCTCAGGACTCCAGTGATAATTGATGTGATTTTCTTCATTAATATGGGGGGCTGCATGATGCAGTTAAAGATGATGGATTTTGATAACAAGCAAAAGACATTTGGATTCAAATCCTGAATTGGTAATTGCTTATATTTGTGATAATAAGGCAAATTGCTTAAACTCTCGAGCTTCAGTTTGCTCATTTGTAATATGGATGTAATCTCTTTTTTACAGGGTTGATGTAAGGATTAAATTAATTAATGTTTATAAAGTACATAATAAATCTTAGTTCCCTTTCCCCTCTCCTTTTTCTTCCTAGAGGAATTAAAAAGTAATTACTTTTAAAAATGTTGGATAATTCAAATCCTAAGGTTTAGAATCTGAGTTGTCAACTATCTTATGACTGCCCACATTGTTGCTTTCTATTTCTCACACAAGTCCAGACTTTATTGGAGAGAGTATCAGATCTTTTTGGCTAATACTGTAGTATTTGGAATTTCTAGCCTTTGATCTCTGTGGTTTGATTTTCTTTCCTCTGGGAGATCAGATGAGTGACCCATTCTGCAATACAGATGGAATGAACAGATTCTTTTGTTTCATGCTCATTCTTTGGTAGTTAAATTCCCATTGATATAGGTTGGGATGCTTGTTAGTCATATTTCTACACATTGAGGAAAAAATGTTAATTTAAAAATGTACAAGGGAATTTAATGTACAGCATGGTGACTATAGTTAATAATACTGTATTGCATATTTGAGAGTTGATCTTGAAAGCTCTCATCACAAGAAAAAAATTTCTGCATGGTGAAATATGTTAACTAGGCTTACTGTGGTGATCATTTCGCGATATATACAGATACTAAATCATTATGTTGTATACCTGAAACTAATACAATTTGTATGTCAGTTGTACTTCAAGAAAAATAAATAAATTAAAAATAAAGCTGGGCTTCCTTGGGCATTTAGTGCTGAATTGGTTAAGGAACTGTTTTGATTGCTGATTAACAAAAGTATTTCATTTCATTTCAAAGTAAAATGAGGATATATTCAAGGCTTGTGATCCTTAGGTATTTATTACTGCTTGTGTACATTCTTTTGATGGTACCTGAAGATGTGTAAGATTTAAATATGGTAAAATACTCTAAGTGAAACACAAATCTTGAAAATTAGGTTCTTCATGGTTTGCTACTTTTAGTTTAGAGTGAAAGTTTGTTATGGTATGATTGTAACTTTATCTTAAAATATAAGGTGGATAGTTTTATGGGTGGATGGAGAGTGAAATTATGAACTTCTGTTTTCTTGATTGGTACTCTTTTAGAAACTTGAGTATTTGCAGCGGTGGTGCTTCAGTATGACTCTTGATATGGTTTTTAAAAATTCCCATCTTATTAGATTGATTGTTTTCTGAAAATCCAGTTTTTATTTTCTTTTGATTTTATTCCTGAAGCTTTTTTCTTCCTGGAAAGTAAACCTGTGGAACATTCATTTGCCTTAGTGGCATATGAAAGAGGGGTTCATGTGGTGTGCAAGTTGAAGACTGCTGCCTCTCTACTACTTTTTCACAAAGATCATTTTTTTAAAATAAGAATAAAAACTTGGCTACAAGATATTAAACTTGAAAATATTAATATTACAAATAACTTGCCTCTTATACTGTTTTTAAATAGTTTTAATATTTTATTGCAGACCAGCCGTGTGTTAGATACTGTGCTGAAATAACTACTCAAAAAGCAAGATGCATTTGCCAGTAGCACTCAAGGCTATTTGGTACTGTTAGCTGTCTCTTTCTTCAGGAGTTAAATTTTTTCACTAGACTTTCCTTAATTTAGATTAACTACAGGATATTCAAAATGTACTTACAACTTTTCATGTATTGGTAGTGTTTGGAATGTAACTTTAAAGATCATTTCAGGTTTTTTTTTTTTTTTTTTAATCTTACATAGTACATGGCTTAGTGTTCTATAAGGTTTTTTTCGAGAGGTGGCCCTTGGTTTGCTTTGGAGAGTGGTATTAAGGTAGGTAGCTGCTACTTGTTAGTGTGTGGGCAGTAAAGTATGTTGACAGTGGAGTGTAACTTAATTTTGTTGGGTAGGTGCTTGTTCCAGTAGGTTAAGTCAACAAGTATATTGAGGATCCGTCACTTGGCAGATCTTGTGCTTGACTTTGAGGAAGAAAACATTAAATAAGACTATACAAACTGGGCAGTGTGCTGTCTAGTGGAAGAAAAGTCAGCACATAATAGTACAAAGTAGAGGTATCTAAAAGTTTAGAAAGAAGTGACAGCTGGTTAAATGGAGGGTGGGAAGGAGAAGGCTTGAAGAATAGAGGAATTTGAGTTCTTCTGAACAATGAGCGGAGGTTTGAAGGATAGAGATAGGGATATAAGAAGAGATGGGTGAAGTAAAGAAAAATAAATCTGGGAAATGGATTGGTAAGTGATCTCGTTTAGTCAGTGCATAGAGCACTTGCATAGGGAATAAAAGTTGCTGAGATGGAAAGGTAAGTTTGAGATAAATTGTAGAGATTTTGAATGCTACGGAGTAAAATTAGAGAGCCATGGAAAATTTGAGGCAGGAAAATCCTTTAGGAAAGAATTCTTGGGGCGTACTTAAGGAAGAATTTGGGAGTGAGGAGGACCATTTGGAAGATTATTGCAGTGCTCCTGATAAATATTGAGGATTGTTGCAGAAATCTCACCTCAGATCTTCTCTGGGAAGCTTTCTTAACTTCTTCCCCACTCCCAATAAGATTTGCCTGCCCCCTCTGCTCTAATGGCCATTGTTTTACTTGACTCTTTTATTAGCTTTATTTTACTTTATATCTTATATCTCTGATGTAAGGCATAGTACCAGTAAATGGTTGAATTAAGGGAAGATCTGGACCACAGTTGTGTCTTTGGAAAGGAAGAGTCCCCATTGAAGAGCTGTGATTAGAGGCGGGATGAGCAGAATTTGACTCATGTGATTATGAGGGGATAAAGGAGTCCAGGATGATCCTGTTATCATGCTTGTTGCTGGGTAATACTTATTGAGCAGTTATTATTTGCTAGACACTGTTCTAAGTGCTTTACCTGTTTTTGTCTTTCACAATAATCCTACGAGGCAGGGTGCTATTCAGCTTTACAGAGGAAAGGAACTAGGGCCAAGGTTACAAAACTGGCAAAGTCCTAAAACCAGGAAGTCTGATTCCAGAATCTGTGCTCTTAAAAGCATTTTACTACTTCCATATTATTAGTGATTGAGAGATACAATCCATTGTCAGAAATAAGGTCAATAGGAGAAACTAGTTTGGAAGGAATTTTAAATATATTGAGTTTGAGGAGCTTGCAGACATTTGGATGAAGATGTCCAGGAGGTAGTTTGAGAACAGATTGGAACCCAGGAGAGGGACTAAGGTTGAAAATCTTTTAAAGAATTAGAAGTCATCTCAGTACAATAAAGGTGTTGATATGCTTCCTATGGGAGAGATTGTTAAACTTGTGGAGATGTAAGTTGATGCTTTAGAGGACGAGAGGAGAAAGAAGACATTTTAGGAGTCAGTAATGGGAAGGGAAAGCTGATGACACAAAATGGTGGTGTTGGAGGAATGAATGTTCCTGTGGCTAGGTTGCTAACTTGAAAAAAGTTTTTATTCTCAGCCACCAACATATAGGGCCATATAGTATAGTGTAGTTGGCTTAGCTTTTATCTCCTTAGCAGTCACAAGAATGATCCTTTTTTCTTTTGGATTTTCTTGCCATCCTTCACCACATTGTGCTATCTGCTTTCTCTACCCTGAGATAAATTTGTCTTGTGTCTGCTTCTTTATTGTCTTAAGCTTCCTTTAATTCTGTCCATTCATTTCTTGCTTTTTGGTGTTTTCATATGGATGAAGAATTGTGCTCTAGACTTCAGAAGATCTGTAAGCATCATTAATTTGTTCTTCAGTTAAAAAAACCATAAAAACCAAACCCAAGACAAATAATATAGTCAGGTCTAGGTTAGGAAGAGGGAGAGGTTCAGTTTCTGAAATAGCATTACATTTACTGTTTACTTGGACCACTAGCTTTAGAAGTTGGTTATTTAAAAAATCTTATTAACTACTGTTTGCGTCTCTCAAGCTTAAAGAAGTTCCATTCTGAATGCTGTGTAGTTATAGCTGCAAATCAGTGGAATATGTCTGGTTTGCAGTAGATGTGACCAGTGCCATCTTAGGTTAATTGAAATCAGCTGATGCACCTTCGTAAGCTGTTGCTGTTATTTTTAAATCCTAGAAACGATGATTTGGATGTGGTAGCATAGAAGATTAAAGAAGAAAAGGGTAGCACTGTTTTAGCTGCTCTTGCATGCTTATTCTTCTGGGTGAACTTTAGAATTATTTTTGGCAGCCCCTGTGCCCCCTTGCAAAGATTTTCCTTTGGGGTATAGAGCTGTTGAATGAAATTGCACTAAATATGTAAATAAATTTGGGTATAATTGACATTGTCTTAATAATGGGTTTTCTAACCCGGCATATGATGAGTCTTTTCTAAAGGTGACTTGAATAACTGAATCCTTCTGTAAAGGATTTTTACTTATCCTCACTACCCACAATACCTTGCAAAATAAAAACAGCTCAACTGAATCCTTTCTTCACCTGGGTTGTGTACATTTCTTTTGTTGGTTTCTAGATGCTTTATACTTCTTTTGACTATTGTAAATAGGATATCATTTTTGTTACCTAACAGGTTAATACTAGTATATTGGCAAGCAGTTGATTTTTTTTTTCTCTGTTCAGCGTCTTGACTGAATTTTTTTTTCTTTTCTAAGAGTAGTTATTCTTTTGGATTTTCTCATTTCTTAGTGTGTGCAAATGGGCACATTTCAAACTGTGTCTCAGTGTGTTTCAGAGAATTAAATTTAAATATTAAAAAAATTTCTTCTTCCATACCATCTTGCCTTTTAAGAAAGGTTAGATGGGAGAAGAAAGTGAATGAGGAAGGACACAATAAAAGTTGGAGATAGAAAAAGATGGCTAGAAAGAATAGTGATGGAAGGTATCTCAGTGCTTAGTTGTCTTGAGCTTATTTTGCTTAGGGCCCAGCATGGTGGAGTTCAGAGGAACAAATCGATCAGTGCGAAAATCTGACCAGCTGTTCTTAGCCTTAAGTTTAGAGAAGATACATGAAGCAATACTGTGTAGACTTGCATGAGTTTTACTATATTTGCGCTTTTATATATCTTACAAATCCTTAGTTTTCTCTTAAAATTTAATATAATGTTTTGTGCATTTTATTTGAAATCTAGAACTCGGAGCTAGGGTCAGATATTTGTGGTGTTAAGATTCTTGGTTTCACTTTTAACATTTGACTGTACATAAAAATAAGTAAAATCTCACTACCCACAATACCTTGCAAAATAAAAACAGCTCAATGACAGAGTTAAATTCTGGGACTCCCAAGTAAAAATTTCAGACAGATACCACATGTTATTTAGTTAATAGTCTTGTAGCTTGGCTTCTTTGTCTGCATAGTGAAAAAACAAAATATTGTATGCCATATGTAATTTGATCTGTAGATAATTAAGAAAAAATAAGATGAAATTTTTACAGTTGACATTGTTGAGAAGTGCCATTATTTGAAGACTGAACTTTTTCTGTGCAACCGTCAGCAGTAGTGGCATGCTGAATTAGAAGCAGCCTCCTTAAAACAAGTTGTAAATGGTGGCCAGCAGTGGATTTGAAAAAAGCATTTTCTTTTTTTTGAACTCTTTCTGCAGCAGCATTTGTACCTTTTACATTAAGGGTTTATGTGTGGATTTTCTTGTTACTAGAATCTGCTTCCTATATGATTGTGTAGTTGGAGGAAGGAGGGGAAGTTTCTTTGCTGTATAGCAAGAAGTTGCTGCTCTGTCAGTGTTGTGGCAGTAAACTGTGTATCTTATGACTTGGGAAGATCTTTTGCACGAAAATGCTGTTGTAAAAATAGTGGTTAGGTTTCCAGTCTACAGTTTAAAAAGTTTATGCCTCAAATATATCCTACTCTCATTTGTATCATATTTTGGCATATATGCATTCTGAATTTTAAAGAATTGACTTGCACATTTATTTTGGATCACAATCTTTTTGTAAGTCCTAGATTTCCTTTGGTTTTATTAGCTGAGGAGAAATTGCTACAAGTTTGGGAAGATTAAGTCTATATAACTTGAGACATACTTGTTTTGTTAGCATAATACATTTTTAGATCATTTAAATATTGACTTTTTAATAATTGCAGACCAGATCATCAGATGTTCATTCATCTGGATCTTCAGATGCACATGTGAGTATAAAAGACAATCTTTGTCTTTTTTTTTTTTTTTTTTTTGTATTTATTTATTTAAGTAATCTCTACACCCAACATGGGGCTCCAACTCATGTCCTCCCAGATCAGGAGGTGCATGCTCCACAGACTGAGCCAGCCAGGGACCTCTCGTCTTTGTATTTTTTTAAAAAATATTTTATTTATTAATTTGACAGCGAGAGCAGGAACAGAAGCAGTGGGAGTGGGAGAGGGAGATCAGGCTTCCCACCGAGCAGGGAGCCCGATGTGGGACTCGATCCCAGGACCCTGGGGTCATGACCTGAGCTGAAGGCAGATGCTTAACGACTGAGCCACTCAGGCACCCTCGTCTTTTTTAACATTTAATTTCTCTCTGTATCCCTATATTTATGATTTTACTTGATAAATATTATTGTATTGTATGTGTCTATTTTCTGTCATGTTTTTGCTAGGTGCCCTTTTTTTGTGTGTGTGTTCTATTTGTATAAGTTGGTCCCCTCAGACCATATTAGAAACCAAGTATGTATGTGTCTTTATTTTTTTATTGTGCTTATAAAGTTCTGTACATATACAAATGTGTATACTTGTACATTGACTGTGATTTGCATTGTACATGTTATTTTTTCACTGCACGATATACCTGTTGGAAATCCCTGCAAGTCAGCAGTTAGAGCTCTAATATAGTCTTTCTGCTGCCATTGTAATATCCCACAGGGGAAAGTACACATGATTTTTTTTTT